GCTCAGAGACTCTCAGCCTCCAGTTTAGAAATAGCAGGGCAGCAATACTGAAATTTCCTGGTTTGTTACCTACTTGCATACCAAGTAATAAGTAGAGTTCTTGGTATGTTCCTCACATTATTATGGAATCTTTATAAATTCCTGGTAAATATCTATTTAGAAATAATTTCCACTGAGTTCAGTGGCACTTGCATGTACAGCATTGGCAGACGAAATCTCAAATGGAAACAAACTAATCACGTGGTCATATTTTCCTTGACAAATAGGAAGTGTTCCTTAGATAAGTTATTGCTAGGCACAATAGGAGGAAATTAACTCCAAGTTTTAGTGCTTTGCAGCAAAGCATGTGGAATAAGACCAGCATCAAGTTCAGGTCACACCCTTGTAATTTTGTACAAGGACATAATGTCAGGAATCTGGACATAATAATAATAATAATAATAATAATAATAATAATAATAATCCTTTATTTGTACCCTGCTACCATCTCCCGAAGGACTCGGTGCGGCTTACAAGAGGCCGAGCCCAAATACAATAGTAAAAACAACAGCAACAACAAACAGCAAAATAACAAAAAACAAACAAAGCAATAACATTGACAACACACAATGACACAAGTAAAATCAATGGCAGGACCAAATGCAATAATTAAAATTAAAAGTGCTGGGCATGACCAGGTGGAGTGTTTGGAGGGGGATGGGCATGCAGATATCCTGGATCACTGATAAAGTGCGTTGGGACATAATGCTAGGAGTTTCCTTATTCTGGGAAGGCACACTGGAACAACCACGTTTTCAAGCTCCTCCTAAAGATTGCTAGCGACGGGGCCTGCCTGATGTCCTTAGGGAGAGAGTTCCAGAGTCGAGGGGCCACCTTATACCCTCGTTTCCTTATTCTGGAAAGGCACACTGGAACAACCACGTTTTCAAGCTCCTCCTAAAGATAGCTAGCGACGGGGCCTGCCTGATGTCCTTAGGGAGAGAGTTCCAGAGTCGAGGGGCCACCACCGAGAAAGCCCTATCCCTCGTCCCCACCAATCGCACTTGCGATGCAGGTGGGATCGTAAGCAGGGCCTCTCCAGATGAACGAAGAGATCGTGTGGGTTCGTACACAGAGAGGCGGTCACGCAGGTAGCAAAATATTCAAAACCTAAATGCTTCTACCTTCTCCCTACTCTCTAATCAGTGTTTCTCAACCTGGGGGTCGGGACCCCTGTGGGGGTCGCTAGGGGGTGTCAGAAGGGTCGCCAAAGTCCATCAGAAAACAGTATTTTCTGTTGGTCATGGGGGTTCTGTGTGGAAAGTTTGGTCCAATTCTATCAGTGGGGGGTTCAGAATGCTATTTCATTGTGGGTGAACTATAAATCCCAGCAACTACAACTCCCAAATGTCAAGGTCTATTTTCCCCAAACTCCACCAGTGTTCACATTTGGGCATATTGAGTATTTGTGCCAAGTTTAGTCCAGATCCATCATTGTTTGAATCCACAGTGCTCTCTGGATGTAGGTGAACTACAACTCCAAAAATTCAAGGTCAATGTCCACCAGACCCTCCCAGTATTTCCTCTTGGTCATGGGAGTTCTGTGTGCCAAGTTTGGTTCAATTCCATTGTTGGTGAACTTCAGAATACTCTTTGATTGTTGGTGAACTATAAATCCCAGCAACTACAACTCCCAAATGACAAAATCAATCCACCCAACCCCACCAGTATTCACATTTGGGCGTATCGGGTATTTGGCCAAATTTGATCCAGTGAATGAAAATCCATCCTGCATATCAGATATTTACATTACGATTCATAACAGGAGCAAAATGACAGTTATGAAGTAGCAACGAAAATAATGTTATGGTTGGGGGTCACCACAACATCAGGAACTGTACTAAGGGGTTGCGGCATTAGGAAGGTTGAGAACCACTGCTCTATCCCAAAATGTTACAGCTCGTCTTATTTATTTATTTATTTGCTATATTTATATATCGCCCCTCTCAGCCCCTCTCAGCCATCTTTTCATTTCAGATGGGTGCAGGGGTGGCAATGGTGAGCAAAGGAATGGAAAAGAAATGGGTTTCCTGAATTCATAGGTGAAGAAGAGAGATTGTTTGCAATGAGGATGTGTCACACATCCAGTGAGCTCTGCATTTCAAAAGAGAGACTTTCCCCTAGCATCCCTTCCCACAAACTCCTTGCCATATAATCATGTTGGCAGCTCGTAAAATATTCTGTTGTGGTATCTATTTTATTTATTTATCGTGTCAGGAGCAACCAGACAGTTGTATTATATTTTTAACAAAACAAACAGACAGACAGACAAAACACAAAGTTTGCAAGCTTGGTAGGTGATTAAATGTTCTTTGACCAGTATATGGCCACTTGGAGTGCCTCTGGTGTTGCCGCAAGGAGGTCTTCCATTGTGCATGTATCTATGAAACCACAACAGAATGGCCATTTGTTTTGGTTTCTTTCTAACAGCCCCTCAGTCCCCAAAGCCCATTTTTGAGGCACACCTAGAGTATCCCATAGTACAATTTACTTAACATCTCTTTCACTCAACACACATACATATACACACATACTTTGGGGAGCTAAATCCCACTGAATCTAAAAGGGAGACATCAACCGATGGCAATAAATATTGGATCAGGTCCTTCTTACATAACCTCTGGCAAAGAAAGAACTGCAAGGATCACATTGTCTCATCCATGGAACATATTTGAATGAAGCTAGCAGTATTTTTCTAAGAACTAGGCAGTACAGGAACCGTACTGCCTAGAAACATTTCATGAGGCTAAATATTCTCCTGTTAGAAGGGATTTCAGATTAATCTGATGTACAATGATTCCAGAATCAGTCCAATAAAACAGAGAGAGAGAATGAGCTTGTTGTTGTTGTTGTTGTTGAAGTTTAAGCTACAAAGCAACCAGAAAGATGTTCTGAAAACAACGTGGAGCCACTAACTAGTTAACACCCATCTGTACGGCAAACATCTTGCCTCATCTCAAGATCTCCTTCTTAGGTAACAAACAAGGGTTCTGCCATTGTGCTACATGTTATTAAATTATAAAAAGGTTTTGAAATAAAGGCAGCTGCAAAAAGGCAGGTTTATCTCCAGGCTGGGGAATTTGGAGGGGTTTCCTGAGTTTATATATCATCTTGATCAGAAAGTAAAGGCTGCTGCCTGAGAACACTCCAGCAGAGGATACTAAGTTGGGGAGTATTTATATCTTGCCAGAAATCAATAGGTGCCAAACCAATTACCTGGAAGGAGGAGGAGGAGGGGAAGGAGCATGAGAGGAAGAGGAAAAGGAAGTAGAAGAAAATGAGGAGGAGGAAGAGGAGGAGGAGGAAAGAGAAGAAGGAAGAAGGAGGAGGAAGAAAGAGAAGAAGGGGAGGAAAGAAAGGGAAGAAGAGGAGGAGAAGAGAAGAAGAAGAGGAGGAGGAAGAAAGAGGAAGAAGGGGGAGGAGAGGAGGAAGAGAAGAGGAAGAGAAAGAAGGAGAAGAAGGGGGAGGAGGAAGAAGGAGAAGAAGGAGGAGGAGGAAGAGAAGAGAAGAAGAAGAGAAAAGGAGGGGAGGAGGAGAAAAAGGAGAGAAGAGGAGGAGGAAGAGAAGGAGAAGAAGAGAAAGAGGAGAAAGAAGGGGGAGGAGGAAGAAGGAAGGAAGAAGGGGAGGAGGAAGAGAAGGAAGAAGAAGAGAAGAAAGGGGGAGGAGAAAAAGAGAAAAAGGAGAGAGGAGGAGGAGAGAGAAGAGGAAGAGAAGAGGAAGAAGAAAAGAGGAAGGGGAGGAAGAAGGAGGAGGAGAAGAGGAGGAGAAGAGAAGAAGAAAAGGAGGAAGAAGAAAGAAAAGAAGAAGGGGAGGAGGAGAGGAGAAAAAGAAGAGGAGGAGAAGAAAAGAGAGGAAGAAGGAGGAGAGAAGGAAGAGGAGAAAGAGGAGAGGTGAAGAGAAGAAGAAGAGGAAGAAGAAAGAGAAGAGGGGAGGAGGAGAAGGAGAGAGAGGAGGAGAAGAGAAGAGAGGAGAGGAAGAAAAAGAGAAGAAGGGGAGGAGAGGAAGGAGGAGAAGAAGAGGAGGAGAGAAGAGAAGAAGAGGAGGAGGAAGAAAGAAGAGAGAAGAAAGAAGGGGAGGAGGAAGAAAAGAAAGGGGAGGCAGAGGGAGGAAAAGAAGGGGAGGCAGAGGAAGGAGGAGAAGAACAGGAGGAGTATTACTTCATTGTGGTCTAAAATATGTGAAGTATGATATTTTGGCTGACTTAGACAAGCCCCTTACTGGCTTTGGGAGAGCAATTCCATACCAATTACAATGTGCTAAGCAGAAGAGGAGGAGGAAGAAGAAGAGGAGGAGGAAGAAAGAGAAGAAGAAGGGGAGGCAGAGGAAGGAGAAGAGGAGTATGTAACAGAATAAGAGGAGGAGGAAGAAAGAGAAAAAGAAGGGGAGGAGAAAGATGGAGGAGAAGAAGAGGATGTAAGAGAAGAGAGGGAAAGAAGAAATAGAAGAAGAGGGGAGGGGAAGGAGGAGGAGAAGAGGAGAGGAAGGAGATGAAGAGAAGAAGAAGAAGAAGAAAGAGAAGAAGGGGAGGAGGAAGAAGGATGAGGAAGAAGGAGGAGGCAGAAGAAGACAACCTACTAGGTCAAAAGATGCACTTTGCAATGCTCTGAACCCTAGAGAGTCCTGCTCTTTTTGGGAAGGAGTATTTTCCATCCTGAGTGGGTTCAAACTGCTGTCTTTTAGAGACGAGAGCAAAGGAGGAAACACCCAAGAGCATCTTCTGTATTCCTCCCAACTTAGTGGACATCACAGAAATGGGAGCTTCAGATGACAAACATTTCCAGCCATCACCCCAAAGGCTGTGCTAAAAATACCTAGACGAGGCACTTGGTTCCTCCTCCTGGGAGAGTTTCCAGGAACTCTTGTCCAAAACAAAACCTCTCCTCTGCCACCAAAATCTCTCAAACTTTGCCTTTCACAAAACCAACCCCTGCCCAAGGCTCCCCAGGGCGTGTTGTCCTTACCTTCCTGACCCCGTGGAAGCCATAGGCTGCTGCCACTTGGCCGGCTTGGGCTTCTCCCCCGTGGTGAAACTCCACCAAGAAATGGTTGGTGTAGACGGCTGGGTCGGAGGCGGAGGCCAAGGCGAGGAGCCCCACCAGGAAGAGGCCGGCCGCCTTCCATCGGGGCGCAGGCTCTGCCTTCATGGCTCCGTGGGGCGAGGGGGGTCCAGGGGACGGGGAGGGAGCTCTGCGCCTGCCTCTCTCTTCTGTCTCCGAAGAGGGGAATCCGGCTCGTGGACTTATGCCGCCCTGCGCGTGTGCGTGTGCCGGGATCTGCATTTTCCAGCTCCTCCTCGTGGGGCAACACGGCGCGGCCGCCAAAAGGAAGCACCAACCGGGGACGAGGCGGGAGAAACGCCGAGGGGGGGTTGGGCGAAGGGCCTGCCAATCACAGCCCCCTCCCTTTGGATGCGCGAGGGGCGGAGGGAGAGAGGGAGCCTTCGCGCTGCCGCCGCCGCTGACTGATTCAGCACCTTGGAGAGCGCCTCCATCCCCAACCCAGGAGAGAGGAAAAGCCCCCCGGAGCCAATAGGAGGGAGGGAGGGGATGGGAGGGAATGCGAGGCGGGCCAATCAGCAGCCGCGCTGTCACCTTTTTGTGTAACTCGAGGCCAAGGCGAGCAGCACTCTTGCTCCATCTCTGGAAGAAA